TGCCCTTTGCGATTCCGAGAATATGGAGAGAACCGACGAACCATCATGATGACTGCTTTTTCTGCATTGTTGACATTTCAAAGTATAAAAAACCGAAAGATAGGCTGACTCTAGTTTATCCAAGTATACCATCTTCTATTGGACCAGTTCCACACAGTGATGAATTGCCTGTTCCTACTCCACCTCAATCCGAAGAAGCAGCTGCATATCATTCTGAAGTAGACTCACCGGATGAACTCAATGATGACTGTGATTTCAGGGAACCGAATGATTCACCTCATTTCCCTAACCAACAAGAACTTGATGACTTAGTACGAGATTTAGGTCTCACTAAATCAAATGCAGAACTTCTGACATCACGTTTGAAAGAATGGAATTTATTAGATCCAAGCTGCAGAACCTCGAAATACCGAAAAAGACATGAAACATTCGCATACTTTTATGTAGTATCAGAATCACTGTGCTATTGTCATGACGTTCGTGGTCTTTTCAATGACATTGGCATTGTTCACAATCCTGAAGAGTGGAGATTATTCATTGACAGCTCAACAAGAAGTCTAAAGGCAGTTTTGCTCCATAACGGAAACCGATTTCCTTCGATTCCAGTAGCTCATTCCGTTCATCTAAAGGAAGACTATAAGAACGTGAAGTTGTTGCTTGAGAAAATCAACTACGACAGTTACAAGTGGGATGTATGTGGAGACTTTAAGATGCTAGCATTTCTTCTCGGTCTGCAAGGAGGATACACAAAGTACTCGTGTTTTCTTTGTTTATGGGATAGCAGGGCTGCAAACCAGCACTTCACAAGACGTGAGTGGCCAGTGAGAGAACATTTACAGCCTGGTTCGCACAATGTTATTAATCAATCTCTGATACCTGTTGAAAAGATCTTACTACCACCCCTTCACATTAAACTTGGTCTTATCAAACAATTTGTCAAAGCATTAAACCTAGATAGTGCAGCATTCCAGCATATTCGGCAGATGTTTCCAAAGGTGTCAGATGCAAAAATTTCAGCAGGTATATTCGTTGGTCCACAGATTAAAGTTATGTTGGCATGTAAGGAGCTTGAGGACAAAATGTCTGCTGTTGAAAAAGAAGCATGGACTGCATTTAGACATGTTGTTCATAGCTTTTTAGGCAACAATAAGAGTGATAACTACAAAGAGATAGTGGAAAACTTAATTGTACGGTACGCAGATATGAAATGCAGAATGTCAATAAAGCTGCATTACCTGCATTCACACTTGGAATTTTTCAGACCAAATTTGGGTGATGTGAGTGAAGAGCACGGGGAACGTTTCCATCAGGATATTCTTGCAATGGAGAAAAGATACCAGGGCAGATGGGATGCAGCTATGATGGGTGACTACATCTGGTGTTTGATACGCGATGACGAGAAACTTCATAAAAGAAAACCTCGTTCTACTGTTCACTTTTAGTGTTTTTTGAGATTGTGAGAGACTGTTACAATACAATATAATGTAACATTATGTAATATATGTAAGAAACATGATGTAACATGAAGTTTTGTAACATAACATAACACTTTTGAATTAGTAAATGTTTTATATTGACTAAAGTAGAATCTAATGCAAAACGATTTATATTAATTATATGTTTAATTGATTTTTTGGTTTTACGACCAAACGATTGATGCAATAAAAAATCCAATGTCATATTCAGACTCAGCATACTCAAATTAATTAAGAAACATCAAAAAATTTTGATAAACAGAAAATTTTTTTTTTTTGTTACATGGTGTAATCAAATGTAAGTTATGTGATCTTCAATGGTACAGTATGGGCAGCTGCCCAACGGTTTATAAATGACACAAGTCATGTAGAAATATTTTAACATGTTGGTATATTAGTATATAAATAAAAATAAAAATATTGTTCAATAAATAAATTAAATTTGTTCTTAACAAAGATTACCTCATATTTATTCTTTTTTTATTTTATTATTCTTAACTAAATTGCTTACAAATAAAAAAAAAAGAGTTTTGTAATTATTTATAGGAATGAAAATACTTTTGCGTTTGTTTATAAGTTAAGGAACTTAACTTTAAATGAACGTTAATTATAAACGGTTACGATTATTTTTACGATTAAATTATTAAATATACTTATGTTGTTTTGAGTATTTTTTTAAGTTTGCACGTAAAAGTATTAAAAAAGTTTTTTGTTTTAAAATTAGTTAACGAATGAGTTTGCATAATTAAGACTTTACTAAATTAAAAAAAAAAATTAATTTAATTTTTTTTTTTTTTAATTTAGTAAAGTTAAAAAAAAAATTAATCGTTAAAAACGATTTTTCTCTATAGCTCTGTGTTTCTTTGCGATTTGTTTACAATGTAAAACATTGTTACGATTGCGTAAAACATTTAAGAATAAATTAAAAACGAACGCGTTCTAAATTACGTATCAAAGCCTTATGCTGACACGTTAATTTTTTATATTTTATAACGCAAGTTAAAACGCTAAGCAACGTAAATTTAAAAAATACTTAAAAACCTAAATTATTCTTTGCTAGTTAAAACAAAATCGCTGTTTAAGTAATTAACAAGGGTTTTTGTTTATCAATATGTTAATTTTTTTTTTTGTTTACTCTCGAAATTTTCAAAAATAAAAAACAAAACGGTTAAAGGTTATTTATTTATTGCGGTAGTTAAAATACGTCTCTAAAAAAAATAAAGATAATTTTATGACGTCAAATATCGCGTTAAGCTAATGCTTTAAGCACTTTTTTACTTAAAACTTTTAGTTAATGCGAAATTAACGCAAAATCTACAATATACCGCATTGTAAGAGTATCCTTTAGCTATCATAAATTTCTTTTTTAAGCATTTTATCTAAACAATTTTTTTATAAACCAAGTCAAGAAAATTTATATATTTAAATTAAAGGTATAAATTTAAATTAGAGGTATAATAAACATTTTTATAAACCAAGTCAAGAAAATTTATAAATTTAAATTAGAGGTATAAATTTAAATTAGAGGTATAATAAACATTATACCTCTATTGACATCAATAAATTTAATGAGCTAAAAGGTTATTAATTTATCAAAGCAATACAATTACGTTTTAAATACAATGTTATAAATAAAACTTACAGGTATGTTATAAAATAATAAAGAATAATAATGATTTAATATACAACTATTTAAAACTATTTATTTACTTATCAGTAAATGAAAAGTTTTATTTATTATCCAAATTTATATCTAAATATAGAATTAGAAACGAATTACTTCAGTAAATCTTGTTTTGAATGTTATTTAAAAAAAACTATCAAAAAAATACAGCTAGATATATCAACCAAAATCATACTATACCAATATTAATAAAAATAATATATTTTATTTCCATAAAGAAGAGCAACAAAATCAGCATAATGTTTTCACTGCGCTTATTTATGTAAATATAACGGGGGGAAGTTCTACAAATCACCTTAAAGAAAACAAAAAACCCACCCTATATAAACCTTCGTTCTTTTTTGAAAAAAATGATATCAAAAAATATCAATATACAATTAATTTTGATGGGTGAGTTTTTATTCTTTGGCACTCAGAATAATTTTTTGCTATTTTTGAACGAAGTCTTTCAAGCTTTTTTCGCGATAAAAAGTCACGTGACTAACTCCCTAATTAAAGAACAAAATATGTTAAAAGTTGAAAAAGAGAAAATTTAAAGCATATATCTTTTTGTTTGTGATTAAAACGGAGCAAAAAACAAAAATAATAGTAACTTATATTTATTACGCTCACTATAAACTTTCTTTATGCAACAAGAGGCTTAATACTATATTTTTTGCGTTTCTTTATCTCGGTATTCTGTTTTGAAGCATTTTTGTTCACTATTGACTTTTTATTTATTATATATTATTCAGTGCCATTTTTATTTTATTCCGTGATAAGCCTTTTAATATTTGTCTCTAGCATTAATTTTTATTTTGACCTGAGCTTAACCATGACCTTGAAGTAAATCTTTTGGAAAAATTTTGTTTTTGCTTAATTACGCTTTCGCCAGTTTTTGCATAAATTAAATTCAATTAAAAACTAGTAACTAATTGATATGATGAATAGAATTCATGCACACGTGACTTGAAACAATAAAATACAAGTATAAATACAGGTCTTATAAACAGGTTGCCTAAAATAAAAATTGTTAAGAAACTTTCACTTTACAATAAAATAAAAAATTTATTAAGAGTTCGAATAATATTTCCTAATTTTTTCCTACATATCGTATCAACGTAACACGAAATTTAAAAGTAATATCTAAGAAAAACAATTTAAATGAGTATTTAATTTACACGCGCAATCGAATCGAATCACAATCGAATGGAATTCCATACGATTGTACGCAATGATATATTATAAATATTAGATGTCTAACATCGATCCGAAAATTGAAGTCGCATTTGCGACTGAGAAATGAGCAATGAGAAAAAATTGTTTACATATATAAAAATGGCCGTAGCAAGAATTAAACACATTGTCTTATCGCCGAGCCCCGTTTACATAGAAGCCGTCAGTTAATATTACAATTTAAAAACTTAAAACATAAAAATAGGTAACATAAAAAACAAAATTATATTTCTACAAAGATATTATAAAGTTAAAATAAGATTTTAAAATAGCGTAATTTTACAGTCATAGCATATTTAATGGAAAATAAAATGACTTTATCAAAAAAAAAAAAAAAAAGGTGAAGATCTATTCAGTTTATTTATTTTATTTTATAGTTTAAATTTTAAAATAAATATTTCAAATCAAAGTTTATTCCTAATAAGAAACGTTTACATACTCTTTTGAATTCAAAACAGTATGTAAACGTTTCTTGTGGAATGAATTTTTATGAAATTTTAATATATTTTCATTTCTATGGAATGAACTTTTACAAAAAGTTAATAAAAATAACATTCTTAAAAACATCTCTTTTGATCAATTCATGAATTGTTCAAAAGAGATGTTTTTAAGAATGTTAGGGTAATTCGGGGCAGTACGAGACACTTAAGGATTAAAAATTATGTAAATAGACCTGGAATTAAGCAAAAAACTAAACAAGTGTACAGTAAATCTTACTTAGGGTAACTCTTTTCAAAACTTATAAGTAAATTTTTAAATTCATTTTTAATTGGATACACAGAGGATTTTATAAATAGCAACAGCGTGTCTCATGTTCCCCACCTTACGGGGCAAAACGAGACAGCATATGTTATGCAACTAAAGAGAAAAAATAAGAGACTTATCCAATTATTTTTTATCATAAAAGATGTTAAATATAATTCATAAAAAATATAGTAACTTTAGCTTGAAAAATTAACATGCTTGGCTAATCTAACCACAGTTAAGTAAGCCTTAAACAACATAGATTAAAATTAGAGATTAAATATTAAACATAGATAATATTAAATATTAAACATAGATATTAAACATAGTTCAAACTTAAGCACCACCTGAACAAATTGTTGCACAAGTTATACTCAACTATAAGTCATAAATTAATGGATCATAGAATGTTTAAATATAATCATGGCACACACACAGTTTACACAAAAAATCTGTCACTAACTTAACAAAATAAACTTCATAGTACCATAATTTACACCTAAAGCATTGGACACATTTCTGGCTAGACTCTGATATTTTTTGGTTTTCTCCATATTTAATTTATATCATCTTTTTTTAGTTTAATCTTTTTTTCTGATGGTCTTTTTTTGTTGTATTTAACTTTTTTGTTTGTTTTCGAACCCCTCCTGCAAAGTTTTATTATACGATGTGCTAGTCAAAATTTCTGACTTTTCTCCTTTTCTTTTTGTAGTCTTCACTTCAATAGCTGGAATTGATAATATATCAGTAAAAGAAAGCTGTTGAGAGTTTGAAATTGACAACGAGGCATTTATTTCATTAACTGAAAAACTAGCAATGGATGTTTGAACATTCGAATTTTGGTTCGGCCCAATTAAAGAATTAGTTGTAGATGATTGTTCAGGATTTATATCTGCTATTTCATTAAATATTATGTTTGTATAACTATCTTTTAAACATGGATTTTCAAAATAATCTGACTCAGGAAGGATTTCTCGATTAAAAGGATTGATGCCTGTTACTCGAAATCGAAACTCGAAAATAGCATTTTCCACTGTAGCTGCTTTCACATAAGCTTGACAAAATAGTCCTGAAAGTTTATCAACTGAAATTCTTCTTCCTGGGTGCTTTCTCATCCATGTTGTGCATACTAAGTTATAAGCACTTTTCAAAGATTTGAACAAAGTTCGATCAAGCGGTTGGAGCTTATGGGATGTATGTGGTGGTAGTGATAAAATATGCAATCCATTTATGCTAGCATAATTGAGAAGATCAAGATTTTTGGTGTGTGATTTGTGACCATCAAGAATTAACAAACACTTATTTGTAGTGCTACAATTTCTATGTATTACAAAGTGTCTTATAAAATCCATAAACAAATTTGTATCTACCCAACCACTTTTAGAACAGCGTCCAAGTATTCCTGGTGGTGCATTATCAATCAATGAATCTAGCATCCGCTTTCTTTTAAAAATAATCATAGGAGGTATGTAGTGTCCCACACAATTAAAAGCTAGTATAACAGTTGTTGTTTGGCCTCTCTCACCACTAGTTACGTTGGCCTGTAAAAATACAATTATAAAAATATAGACAATACAAAATAAAAATAAATACAGACACACAAATAATAATTTGGTTTTTCACAAGAGCAAATAAAAAAGTTTGCAACTTTTCGCTTATTACCTTTATGAGCTATTACTTTTAAAGGCTTGTGAACACATGTTAATCCAGATTCATCACAGTTGTAGATGCGATTTGCTTCAAATTGGTTTTCGTTAATAAGTTCTTCCAGATTGTCAAAATATCTTTGAACAGCAGCCTTATTTAAACCAAAAACTCGATTTATGGATACTGCCTCAGGTTTTCGAATAGACAAAAAGGGTTGTCGTTTCAAAAATCCAACTATAAAATCTCGACCTGCAAGTTTCTTTTCAGTATTAAATGGATGGTTTATTTTATTTTATTGCGTACAACTTAGTCATACACCACCCTTTGAAGTTCATTAATTGATAGACCATAAAAGACTAACTCCATTTTGATTATATACTGTGCTAAATCTTTTTCTTGGGCATCAGATAACACTTTTCTATAAGAACCAAGCAATTTTATGTGTGGTTTATCATCAGCCATTGTTTTTATTGATTTATTAACTCTTCTGTTGAGAGAATCTTTTGGAACCGAATATTCATTAGCAGCTTTACGTAATGTCATTTCTTTATTTTTGACAGCTTGGATAGCTAATTTCATATTGCTTTCATCTCAATTTCCACGATTTGTTTTTCGTTTGTAATTTCTAACCATCATAAAAACCATAAAATATTTACAAATATTTTTTTGATTTTTCGGAGTATATATCAGAGTATCTAAAAATTAAATACTGAATAATGGACTGTCTCATCTTTCCCACTAAGACCGTATGTTAAAAACTTAGTATAAAATTCTTACCTTACAAATCAAATTAAGTTTTCTTTTTTTTTTGGGGGGGGGGTATGAATAATAAAGAAACCTTTTTTAAAAAATTAGCAGCACGACACTAGTACATCTAAATATATATCAAGAATATGATTTGCATTAAATATGTCTTCACTAAAAAACGCGTTGAAAAAAATAATGGCTTTACTAAGTTTCAAAAATATCAGTTATTTTGTCATTAAACAAAGTAAACATTCCAAAAAACGGGTGTATTAAGCTTAGCAAGTACAACCATAAACTATATGCTTAATATTAATGAAGGACTATGATGATTACTATCTCCAGAAAGGATAAAAGAAAGTTGTCTCATCTTTCCCGTTGTCGCATATTGCCCCGAATTACCCTATTTTTAATAATTTTTTGTAAAAATTCATGGCGGTGGCGGAAGGAAATAAAAAGTGGGGAAGCTAAAAATATTTTGCAAATTTTATAAAACTAATATTAATTTTCAGTTATTCTTAAAAGAAAATCACATGCATCCATTTTCAATAAAGTATAATATTAACTATGAACATATTTCACTAAAATTTAAAATTAAAAGAATACTGGTGCCTTTACTTTTTCCATTTATAAAATCTTTTGCTATAGCTTTTACATCTATTTCCGCGGTGTTCAATTTATAAAACTGAAGAAGTAGAAGATGATTCAATCGCTTCTGAGTCGAGGTCGACTATATGACTTCATCATTCTTAGATGAGAGAAAGATCTCTCGGCAAGTTCTTAATGGTATCGCCAAGTAAATTTTTAGAAGTTTTGATATTTCAGAAAACATTTTTGAGACTCCTTTACAGTCGTTTAACATATGTTGAGATTGATGTTACCTGTTTAATGTTCATTTTATATGAAATTTTATAAGTTTTTTTGATGTATTTAAATAGAAAGAGTCCAGCTTTTAATTTTTCATAAACTATATCATTTTTATAGAAAACCTTTATATTATCTAAAGCCTTTATGTCCGTATCACCATTTGCAGTGGACAATAATAACCTGTCTAAAGCAATTATTGATTCCATTGAATTTTCTGGGAACCGCTGATTTAATTAACTTTCTTTAACATCAAGTACCCTCGTAACAGTGGCAGATTATAACTTTTTGGAGCTCGTGGCTTTTTTTGTTTTTGAAGGCCTTTTTATGGGCCAAAGCCTGAAAATGACTTTAAAAAGAAAAAGGTCCTCTTTTTAGAGTCCCTAAATTTGCGGGGCCCGGGGCTATAGCCCCCTTAACCTCCTTGATCCGGCACTGTCTTGTAATACTGAGTTCGTTAATATTCCATCGTGTCCCATTTGTGAATGGTCAAAGCATTATCATCAAAGCGAGTAGGAGTTAAACGTCGACGAGGCAAAGAAGCATGAGGTGAATTGCAACCAAATTTCATAAACTCCTTCATTAACATAAGATTCAAAAAATAATTTAAAACGTTTTTCTGATCTCATAGATGATATATGAATTTTTAATAACATTATTGATGAAGCAATTGTTTAAGCATCTACTTCAGCAGATTGCATATGTTGAGAGACTTGCTCTACAATTGCAAATACATCATAAGCCAGGCGAAGTCCAAAATATAATTGAAATGATAATAATTTATCAAGTAAACTTTCTGCTTTAGCTCTGTTAGGATGATTTGATTCATAAATTTCCTGAAGCTCTAAAACAATTACATATGATTTGGTCCTCGTGGTAAAACGAGTTGGAAAAGGAGCACTTAAGTTGATTTGCTTGACATCCTCGTTAAGATATCGCATTGTAATTTTTTAAAACTTACCAGTTTCTTTGGAGATAAACAAATGAAATTATACAACAGCTGTCACAATTCCTGTTCCTCGTTCATACAACTGACTTGTTTACAAGCATCTTGAAAAACAAGGTTGAGCCAATGTGCGTAACAATGTATAAAATTTGCTTCATTGACATCATCTTCAAATAGTTTAGCAACACCGCTTAGATGCCCTGACATTGAAGCTGCACCATCGTAACTCTGCCCCCGCACCATTTTCTTGTCTAGTCGACACCTTAATAAAACATCACATATTGCATAAAAAAGCGATGCAGTTGGTGTTACTGTCGGTAGCATCAACTGCATAGAGATCAAGAAAATCTTCATATACTGTAAAATTTTCAAAAACTGATCAAACACATATAAATATTTGCTCAATACCGAAAAGGTCTCGCGTTTCATCGTATATTACAGAAAAAAAATCTTGATTAAGTAGCACTAAGTACATTTCTTAGCACATAACTTTTCATTAGTTCTATCATCTCGTTAACAGTATCATGAGACATGTACTATCTGTTTGACAACCAGCTCGATAGAGGTTGATAATCTTCCCTCCTCATCAAAAGTAACTAATAAGGGTTGCCTTCAATTTCATCATTCCGTGGAATAGCTAAGCCTTGTTGAGTAATATATTTTAATGTAGAGATTACCCAAATTAAGCACTCGTAATGCTCATCGTATTGCTTATCATGCATTTTCCTTATCATTTTATGTATGGTTTTTAAACCTGCTGAACGTAATGTAAATAAGTTTTCCAGTGCCTTCTTATAAAAGGATGACAGGTCGTGTTTTCTCAGTCTTTCTACAGCCTTTTTCCAATTGTCATAACAAATTGTCAAAACATTTTGTTCACCGCATTTTGAAGAAGATACCAGATTTTTTTAAACAGCACCAATGCAAATATAGAAAAATACTTTTTGGAATGACATAGATGAATCCAAGGGTAATCTATAATTTATTTTTTATTGAAAAATCTAAGCTGTTTGTCATACATTTTTTTGGTTGCTTCAATACCAGCAGGATTTTTTTTTTTTTTTCCGGCATTCCACATACAGGAACAAGCATGAAAAGATTTTTCAATGTCATTTCCTTCTTGAATAATTTCTTCCGTTGGTAATGTTGGACTTGAAGAATGTTTGTCATGTACAAAATAAGAAATCAGTGTTCGTTGTTTTTTATGAGACGGTTGCGTCATGTTATAAAGAAATACGAGTCGTAAGGTTATGAATCGCTCCCTTGTGAATTGTAAAACATTTTTTAAAGCAAACACATAGAGTTACTCTTTTAAATACAAAACGTTAATTGCTCTCTAGAAGCTTGTAAAACGTGATTCGCAAATACGTTAAGTTAGTATTAAATACAAAATACTATACCTTTAGCGGCTTGAAGTTATAATTTAAAAAAAGATAATATCATCTAAAATAATAATTTTACAGACTTGAAAAGTGTGTGGGGGAGAAGGCAAAGTGAGTGGGCTTAAGTTCCAAAAGCCCCCACTGTACCGCCACCCTTATATATTTATATATATATATATATATATATATATATATATATATATATATATATATATATATATATATATATATATATATATATATATATATATATATATATATATATATATATATATATATATATATATATTATTGATTGCCCGTGAAATACGTTATAAATAAGATTTATACAAATCTCTGGCCTTATTTTTAGTATTCATCTAAATCTACATTAAAATAGAATCCGGTTTTTACCTCAAGATATTTTTTGTTCCTTCAATTTTTTTTGTTTAAATGTTTATAGATAAGATTCGTAACATCTGATATCTGATTTCGATAGAATGAAATCTTTTTCTTAAAGCAATTTACAAATCAGACTTGGTTATTTTTTTTATTTTCGTGTCTTAAGTTTTAGATTTTTTAACATTTAAGGAATTAACGCTTTGTGATTAATTTCAGTATGTAACAAAAAAAGAAACTTCTGATAATGCGTAAAAAATAACGTTAAATAAAAAAATACTTTTTAAAAAAGTCGTAAAAGTTTTAATTTTAATTTGATTTAACACTGCTGTCTTAAACGTAATCTTTATTTACGCCTCTAATATAATTCTTAATACAACTTTATTATAAGTAACCTGACTCTGGTCACATTAAATTTGGCTACCTGAATCTGCACACATTACTTTTAGCTACCTGAATCTGCACACATTACTTTTAGCTACCTGAATCTGCACACATTACTTTTAGCTACCTGAATCTGCTCAGATTACTTTTAGCTACCTGAATTTTTTAGTCGCGTTTTTTATACCTATGTTTAATTTTTTTTTAACAGCCAAATAAATAATCATATTGATTTTTAATTTAACAGCGAAATAAATAAACATAATACGAGGCGAATTTTTGATATTTAGATGAAACAAGGCATAATAAAGTAAATCATTAAAAATAAAGTTTCTGAATTATTTTTCAAAGCTTCTCGAAGTCTGTCCACTAACTAAATTTGACTCGTCAAATTATTACTTCAAGAAAAAAAAATCAAATAAAAAAGTACAATCTATGACATCATGCAACACTTTCCCACACTATTAGTTTTTTTCAATATTTTCCCAAAACCAATCAGCGCTTTTGAAGTTCTGTTTAAAACAATAAATATCTTTAGCGGTCACTTATTTTACTCAAACAAAATTCTTCTGACTTTGTATTAATGTTAAAGTTTAATCTTAAAGTAGCTGTTTTTGCAACTGTTGAATAAAGCACATTGAATAAAGACCTTGAATAAAGCACATTGAAACTATGTCTGTTTGTTTTCTTTTTTTAAAGGAATTTTTATTGTATTGTGAAATACATTGTTTTATAACTTTTAACTTTGATAACTTTTTCAGTTTAGTTGAGTTATTGACTAAAATAAAACTTTAAACTGATCTGGTTTAACTGTTTAAATCGCTTTTTCATTTTTTAAATGAGATTTTTAATAAAAACTTTTTTAGTAGTGAAATCTACCCATTGTACCTTGGACCACGTTTTACTTACATACGTTTTTGTCAGAACAATAAAAATGTACAATCGGCTTATTTTGTACATATAACCGGAGTGTGAGTTTTTGTTTTAATGAGAAAAGTATGATATTAAAAAAAGTGCTAGTATTATTTTAGAAAATGGTTTATTTGATTGCATGGAATTTGTTTTACGCCCTATTATTTAAAAACTATAGACTACTTATTGAGTGTGTTGATTTTCACTTTTTCTAGAAATATGATAACGGCTAGGTTTTTATTTATAAAACTGAA